CTGCAGTATCTATATAAATGGACTCAACAACAGACACATTCCAACCCATGGCTTGATCTTGAGCAATACCTGTGCTCCCCCCCCCCCCCCCCCCCCCCCATTCAATCGCAGAACTCCCCTTTTTACCACAGTCAATCAAAAAACTGGACTTCTATCATAACATCACAATAGCAACAACTCTGGCAGTGGAAAACCAACAAAATCACCAAATCACTCCCAGCACCATGTAGGTATACCCCCATCTGGCACAACCCTGACTTTCGTCTTCACAATGAACCGATTTATTTCCCCAAATGGCAACAAAATGGCATCACCCACCTTCACCACGTATTTGAAAATCACAAATTTATGCCTTTCACCTCAATTATCCAGAAATTCGGTATCGGGAGAGACCAATTTCTCCACTATCAACAGCTTAAATTTTTAATTCAAAATAAAATAACTTTAACTAACACCCTACAGCCTTCTAAAATCAGTGAACAGTTATTAGAAATAGTCAACCACCCAATAAAACTTATATCCAAACTCTATAGTTTCATCGCTACATCTAACCCCACAATAATCCTGCCAAAGGGGAAGTGGGAAAGCGATCTCACGCTACATCCCGACTCGGATTTCTGGACACAGATCTGCAGAAATACCTTCATTATGACCACCAACACCAATTTACAACTCATACAATATAAAACTATTCACAGAACCCACATCACTCAGAGCAAACTATTCAAAATGGGATTTTCTGACACAGACATCTGCTTACAGTGCACCTCTGGGAGCACAGACACCTATTTTCACGCCACCTGGCTTTGCCAGCCTGTTCACTCTCTCTGGACCACATTAACTAATACACTATCCTCGATCCTGGACTGCAGAGTCCCACTATCGGCTGCACTCTGTCTCCTAGGAGATACTTCAGATAGCTCTATCCCTTCCAAATACAAAACCCCAGTCCTTGTTTCTCTAGCGGTCGCTAAAAAAATAATCTTTCAAAACTGGAAATCGAAATCATCTTGCCATTTCACCCACTGGATTAATTTAATTACAGACTTTATTTTGACAGAAGAAACCATAGCTCATAAAAAGAACAATATATCTGCCTTTAAAGATACCTGGAATCCCCTCATAACTTTTTTACAAATTCAACAGTTAATGTAAACCACGTGCTTTCCCTTTTACCCCCTCTCCACCCCTCCCCCTCAATTACTCTACCCTTACAATCTTTTCTACCCCCCCCCCCCCCCCCCCCAAATATATTAGCTTTGTCTGTTTGTCTGTCTATCTGTTTGTTTGTCCGTCTGGCCGTGTGTCTATCTGACCGTTTGTATGTGTACCTCCCTGTCTCTATATTATGACTCTACGTTATATATCCCTCTACGTTGACATTTTCTCTAAAACCATTATATGAATAAAAATAAAGTTGACCTCCGAAGACAGGGGGGTGGTGGACGGGCAAAACAAATAAATAAATAAATTTAATTTAATAAAAATAAAAAAAATACATATATATATATATATATTTCTCACTGCTGCAGCAGGGAATTGGCCAGCACCCTCACATAAGCCTCCGAATTAGGAAATAGGAAATTTCTCTGCCATTTCTTTCTTTTTGCTGTATCGTATCGAACCGAACCGCACATTTTGTGAACTGTTACACCCCTAATGTATACAGTATATATATTACTTATATTTTTTTATACACTTTTAAAACATTTTTATTTTTTGTTTACATGCCTGCCGGGTATTTTAAGTTGAGGTGCTATTTGTTTTTATATTAGACTTTTTCTATATTTACTGTTGCACTAAAGTCCAAAAGTGAAGATTTTATGTTATTTATTACTTGATTGTTCAAGCTACCTCACAGAAGTGCTCTGTTTGTTAACAGAGTTGTTGAATGTTAAAATAAGGGGAATTATATAAAAATAAGGAACATCCTGGATCTGTTTTTTCTCTCTTCTTTATTCTTGTTTATGTATTATATAAGTATCGAATCGGGACTCGGTATCGGTAGATACTCAAAATCAAATGACTCGGACTCAGACTCGAGGGCAAAAAAACCTGATCGGGACATCCCTAATATATAACACTATACAGTATATATAACACCACGTGATTACATTGACAAATTGTTCCACCAGCCCTCCTCCCCCTCCTCCTCCTCCTCCTCCTCCTCCCCCTCAAAAGCTCCATACTCCAAATTAAAACTTTAAGCTGATGGTCTTCAAACGCTCCCCCTCCTCCTCCTCTAATTATCTCTCTCCTCCTATGCGCAGTTCCGTTATAGGGTTTTAACTCTGAGCTCGAACCGAGCCTCAGGTTCAAGCCTCCTCCAAAGACAGCAAGTCAAGTGGGCAGGTGAACTTGTAAAAACATCTTTCTTATGTCCTGATGTGTTTTGTGTTGGCTCATATGATTATGTTTCGCGCTTCAGAATTTTTGTTAAAAGGGAAAGTCGACGCTCCCTGGTTTTTACGGTGCATTGTGGGACTTTTTTTGGTAGTGAAAGTTTCAGTGCACTGGAAGCATCTTGCGATTAAGACCTTAAAATGACGACTCCCTGATCAGTCCCCTGACTACTGAACTAGGGAGCTGATTGACCCTGAACCTAATCAAAAACACCAACCTGTTATTTTCAAGTAATCCTGAAGACTTTTGAGGTGTGCTTGAACATGGTTGGAGCTAAACTCTGTGGGACAGGGGGCCTCAAGGGCCAGAGCTATATCATTCATGACTAATGTATTGATGAAAATGATACAGACAATGACACAGAATTTAATACATTATCTCTTTCCAAACAAGTAATGTATTTTTAGTCAAGTATTGGTTATAATTGATCAAAAAGTTATGTACATGCTTTTCTGATTTATTTCTATAGAAAACATTATTATGACCGTGCGGAGATACTCCATATCCTCAAATTTCATGAACGGCTCTCGAAAGAAGGAGATTTTGCACAAGCCAAGACTATATGAGACATTACATGATGGCTCACTCGGGCTTCCTTCTATTGCCTATTCAAAACCAGACATAGAGAAATTAACCAACAGGCATTCCCTTCAGGAGTTTGTCAACAAAAACAGGTGAGTTAGGCTTTAGTGAGTAGCTGTGTTTGAAATATTGATTTACTAATTTGTATGCTAATCATTTTATTTAACATTTTAGAGCCAAGGTCAAGACGGTAACTTTCCTGTTGCCTGTGGATGATATTTATACCAATCGACCTGTTTTGGCCGAGCACCTGCCTGAAAGGAGCACCTGTGAACGCAAAACTATAGCTGAAACAGACTCGTGAGGTCCAAACTAATAGCAGGAAATACAGAAACGCCTGTGAAAGGAATGTTTGTGAATCTGACAAAGAGGAGGTTCAGTAATGTGGTCAAACTCTGTCCTAACTCATTTAAGACGTTGTAGGTGAGTCCTGTGGTGAATTAATACCTACACCTGACCTCAACACTTTGACTCCTGTTACAGATTTGGTTTCTCAAAATAATCCAGCTGAAGAAACTCAAGTCATCTCATGGTCTCATCTGAAGACCTGGCAATCTCGCTGTGGCGTTTGGATCAGGTGTCTGCACACACAGTCTGATCGTGTGAAGTGCCACTGGAGACATGCACTTCCTGCCCACTACTACGAGTTTGCTGAAATTGTTAGTACAGAGCGCGTTGAATGACGAACTTTACTTGTTTGAGTCATTTTGTTTTTATTTCTCCCTGAAATCTTAGCTTGCCTAATTGTAACATAACATAGTTTACTTCTAAACATGTTTAACTAAAAACTTGCATGCTATCTTCATACTAAAATATATTAAAGCTGTGACTCATTTGCTACATGAAAGAGAATGAAGCCAAAGGAAGGTTTACACTTTATTATTATTATTATTATTATTATTAGTGAGTTAACGGGGCTATATGTAAGAATTTTCATGTGTTAATAGCTTTTTTGTTGCCAATGTGTTGAACTGCTTGTTAAAAAAAAAAAAAAAAAAAAAAAGACACTTTCCGCCGACTACCTAGATTGTCTATGAAAGCCTGTAGAATGCTTTTTTATGTGAAGGTGCCAGGACGTTTTTGCTGGGAAAATCAAAAGGTTGTTCTCCCGAGAGCCTCTCTTCCATTCTATTCTATGCTTATATAATGTTCAGGATAATACAGAAAGAGCTTTCTGTACTGTAATGTCAATGTGTCATGCAAAAAAAATGGATTAATTCAAACTATAGTCTCGCATAGCCAGATCTTTACAGTCTATAGTCTCGGTAACACTTTACAATAAGCTTCATTAGTTAACATAAGTTAACTACCTTAGTTATTAGCATGAACTAAGAATTAACAATACTTCTAAAGAATGTATTAATCTTAGTTAATATTAATTTAAACATTTACTTATACACTATTAAAATCAAAGGTTAACATTAGTTAATGCACTGTGAACTAACATGCTGTATTTTCATTAACTAACATTAACAATGATTAATAAATATTATAACAAATGTATTGCTCATTGTTTGTTCATGTTAGTTAAAGGTATTCCAATTTCTTTTTCATTCTAAGCAAAGAACGAAAAACAATTTCGTCAAAGTGAGTATATCAGGCTGTGGGGCACTGAATCTCGTTCAGTTTCTTGTGCGTTGTGTGTGCCGGGTGCGAGCATGAGCAATAAGTAGCCGGCTGCAGTTCACTTAATGGCCACCGGTGTCACTAATAACAAGTGTTTCTGAATTCTGCATATAGCCCCTTTAAGATCTGCCCCTTTAAAATCTGCATAAGATATCAGTGCCATTGACAGTCCAGAGGCTTTGAGGTCTTAGTCCCGAAAATCTTTTTTCCATAATCTTTTTGGGGTCACGCTCCTGATATCAAGTATTGCCCAGGGGACCCTCATTTGAGAAAATAGTAAAAAGGGAAAAAATATCTAAAGGCATCTAAAGGCTAAAAAAGTTGAAATGATTGGATGCAGTGTAGACAATACTACAAATAATTGGCAATTAGCTTGTCTCAGACAGCCATGTTCCATATTACCATTACATTAAACACTATAGTTAAAGTATAACATATTGGATACATCTGGGCTCATGAAACAGATCAGAATAACAAACAGAACCTAGTGTGAACATGTTTGCTCTGTTTATCAATTGAAGGTTTCTTATTGTCAGTCTTGTTGGGTGTGCTCTCCTTTGTGAGCTCGTCCAATGAGCTTTTCTCACTGTAAAGACTCCCATAACTCTCAGAATCTCGTGGTTTACCTGTTAGTGAACATAGCAGTCAATGATATAAGCAATGCCAGTGCACCCATTTGTTATAAATAAATGTAAAATTGTAAAATGTAAAAAATGTAAAGTGGACATTATCCCTTTATCTCTCAAAATTACATTTATCAGACTTCCCCATTTATTAAAGTTTTATTTTCTGCTGTACTGCATGGTGATACCTGTTATATTGCGTTTCTGAGGTTCAATAGACTGTGCGGGAGGTTTGCTCTCTGTTGGACTATCTCCATATTTCATTGGTACCAATGGACAACTGTCTCCTTTCTGCAGTCTCTGGGTAGCTTTAAGAGAGGAAGAGATAGAAAGGAAGAAAACAGAAGACATGCAATGACATATCGAAAACAGTAACATAATTGATGTTTTCTGTACATTAATTAATTCATAATTATTTATTATTAATAAAACTATAATTTTATATGGAATGGACCAATAAAATCTGTTTCTCTTTTTTTATTGTAAGCATATACAGCATATATTCACTGTAGGGTACAAAATAGGTCATAAAAATGTACCAATTTGTTTTTGTTTTGTTTTGTTTTTTCTCAAAAAATGTCAGTGAAAAAGAATGCAATAAAAAAAATATTATATGTGCTGTTTAATTTTATGTTTATTTTATATTCACTATCATTTTGCAACTGATACAACTGATTTGGGGAGAGGTGAATACAGGTTAAAACCCGAATGTACAGGGGTGTGTTCCAACAGTAGTTCATGCAAAAAATGCAATGCAATTATAAATTGGCTAATAATATATAAGTAATATACAATAATATATTTAATACAATATAAAACAGTTTATCTAACATATCTATAGTTCTCCCGATAAAGAATGGGATTTATTAAGAATATATAGTAGGACACCAATCCATTTGCCATGCAACTGGTAACCCAATAATAAACACATATTCAACAGACCTTTTAACTCCGCCCTATAGTGAGGTAGCTGTGAAGCACAGTCTCTTCCAGAATGAGTCATCTTCCTGACTGAGTCAGGGTTGTGCACCAAAAGCCCCATGATCTCACTCTCGGTGACTTTTAGGTTCCTCTGTAGGAAGTAGGTTTGCATTCTTCCTTTACCTTTTACCTCTATCTCTCCACGCTCCTCCATCTGATAGCCTTTATTTCTTAGAGCACTGTTAACAAGAAATCAGCCAAATAAGTATTCATCTACGTTAAGGTTTATATATATATACTGTATATTTACAGTGCCAAACAGAGATTATCTGAAGTAACTGTAAGATAGATAGAGGACATATTTTCATGCTTCTCACTGATAAACACTGGGACTAATGTGGATTTTGTCAGGCAGGCCATGACTCTCCATTCGGGACGCCGTGTTAACTGTATCTCCAAATAAACAGTAGCGAGGCATCTTCTCACCAACCACCCCTGCCAACACCGGTCCACTGTGCAAGCCCACCCGAATCTGGGACACAAAACACCACTTTAATAGAAGTATATTTAAAAACAGAGAGTATATAATAAGATATGAATAAGATACAATTATATTTTTTGGCAAAAATCAATCTTTCCTAAACCCACAAAACATCTGAAGATTTATAATGTTTCTCATGGAAAAGTGAATTTTTGAAAAGCAGGTATGGCTTGACATTACAGACTGAAACACTGAATCTCAAGTCTAAAGTAATCAAAGATAACCCCATCACCTGAATAGGGCAACCAGTCACAGGGTTAGTAACTTCTTTTGCAGCTATGATCATGCCTAGGGCAAAGTTGGCAACACGCTCAGTGTGACTTGACATCAAGATTGGCACACCACCAACAACCATGTAAGCATCTCCAATTGTCTCAACCTGCCGAACACATTTTGTAACACATATCATTCAAATCAAAATGAATCAATTTAGTCTTACATTTAAGAAAAATCATCATGACTAAGGCTCACCTTGTAAACATTGTGTACAGAGGTAAGACGGTCAAACTTCAGGTACATAGAATTGAGCATGGAAACAATCTGGATGGGTTCACACTCAGAGCAGATATCTGTGAAGGTCACCACGTCACTGAAGAGGATGGTGCACTCTTCAAACTCACCTAAAAGAAAAGCACTGTAGAGTCAAGATTTGACTAGCAAAAAAATGTAAATTATAATGAAGTGACGCAAGCTGCGTTCACACTACAAGTGACTTTGGGGGATCGCAAAACGGCAAGAAACACTATCCTTCTACAAGACAAGACAAGACAACTGGACTGGGGAGCTCTGGAATCATGATTTTTTTTTTTTTATTGTATCATAGCACACAATGAGTGTATAATAAAAACCATTTGTTGTTTGCTTTTGGGATCTGATAGCATTTGGCATAAAGAGCATTTGGACCCAGATTATTGCGTAACCCTATGCATTATGTGAGAGTTTTAATTATAAACAAGATCACAATTCACAGGGACTCTTATTTTGAATTGCATATGCATTAATTCTTCCACCTGCTTATTCAAAAAGATTAGAGAGATAAAATATGCACAACTATCTACAGCAATATAAACACCATAAAGTAAATGTTGTCATAATTCATCAACAGTATTTCATAATTAATCACTTTGCATAAATGTGCAGTATTCATTGATTGCTAACTGTCCTGAATAATAAATATTATCACAAAAATATTAAGTGTTACTCAAAGTATTAAGTGTTTGCTGCCAAAAACCTCTTTTTAGTTTTGTTTCATCTGTCCATAGAACGTTTGAAAAGTAACTGACACGACTGGAACTTCAAGCGGGATGGGCTCTGTGGTCAGATGAAACTAAAAAAAGCTTTTTTGGCAGAAAACACTTAAGATGGGTTTGGTGCACACAGGGATAAAAAAGTATCCCATGTGTAAAATGAAATACTCTGCAGTATCTGTAATGCTGTGGGCCAAATTTTCTGCTGGATGTCCTGGACATCTTGTTCAGATACATGGCATCATGGATTCAATCAAATACCAACAGTTAAAAAATCTAAACCTGACAACCTCTACTAGAAATCTTATAATGGGCCATGTTTGGATCTTCCAACAGGACAGTGATCCAAAAACAAACATCAAAATAAAAACAACAAATGGGTCACTGAACACAAAACCAAGCATCTGCAATGGCTATCCTAGTCCCCAGACCTGAACCCTATAGAAGATGAGTGGGCTGAACTGAAGAGAAGAAGCGCCAACATGGATCTGGGAATCTGCAGGATCGGGAGAGAGTCTGTATGGAGGAATGGTCTCTGATCTCTTGTCAGGTGTTCTCCAAACTCATCAGTCATTATAGGAGAAGACTCAGAGCTGTTATCTCGGCAAAAAGAGGTTGCAAAAAGTATTTAATAAAAGGGGGCAAATAATAGTTCCCAGCGTGTTTTGGAGAACTTTAAAATCTTGAATTAATGATATCTGCAATACATTCATGTTGGTTCTGTTCTGTTTACCTTAAGGGGGGTTATTGCAGAATCAAAAGGCACTATCCAGAGTGATAAGGACAGCAGAGAAGGACACCAAGACTTCTCTTCCCTGCATCACAGACATATACACTCAGCGATGCAGAACTAGGGCCAGGCTTTCACCACCCCGCACACAAACTCTTCTCACTGCTCCTATCAGGGTAGTGCTACCAGTTCCAGAGAACCAACAAAGAGAGACTAAGTATCTACACCAAGCTAATGAATGAGGACACTTGAGAGAGCTCTACCTCACAGAACACATACACAAATTGCAACAGGTGAACTCTCTATACAGTTTTGTATATTTGTCATAAAAATCTGTCAGTACATAAATCATTTTTATTTCTGTTTCTTGTTGAACTGTGGGACAGGGAACTAAGAACAAATCACAACAATACATTCACATATTGCTGTCATGTTTGCGATTTCCCCATTGGGTTATTTGATTCTTTTATTCCTAGATTATCTTCCTGTCTCAAAAAAAGCTGTAAGTAGACCCATGCCTCAACTACACACGCTAGACTGTACTGTGACATAAGTGATCTCAGCAGACACCATAAGTAAGTTCATAGTGCCCCTGTAGATGGAGTTTCTGATCTTTGCATCCTGGTCCCCAACAGTAGAGTAATAATTATTTTATAACATGTCATAGAAAGATATTTGAAGACCTCTGATGCATTCTGTCCAACATGGGCTGAATTAGTTCCAGTAAATGCATATAGTAGAATCAATCCTGATCCAAAGATGTCCCAGAGCAGTGATTGCCACCCAGGGGTGAGATTACCGCAAGGGGTAGTTAAATAAATATATAAGGGTACATTTAGATTTGGCTTTGTTAAACATATTAAACAGAAAATATAATGTTTGTCTATTATTATTTTTATAATCTCATAATATTATTTGTCTTGTCTACGGTTTCTTGTCAACCGTGTTTAATTATTCTGCTTTTTACTGGTTAAAAAAAAAAACTAATTACAAATCTGCAATAATGAAATGTTATAACAATATATATTACCCAAATTTTACAAACTTATTCTATCATATATAATAAAATCTCAATGAACAATAAGTCCATCATATGCCACAGCAGCGCAACAAGTCACAGCTCGAGATCCTTTCCTGATCCTGTTCCCCTCTTTCTCTTGTCACCCAGTTGCACTTTCAGACACAGATGTTGAAACTCACTGTGCATTTGTACTTTTTATTCTGACAATCTATGCAGGGAGTTAAATTTGGGCAATTTGAGAGATGGTTGTGTAATTACTGAATGATAAATCAATGAATCAAATGAGAACCTAGCACCTTACAACTGATAATTTAAATGGAATGACTGCCTAGCTTTAATTGAAAATACTAAAGAGGTACATTGTGGGACACACTTCTATTGTCTCACCCCTTCTACTGAAACCTTACTCATTGCATTCTCTGCTTGCCTAACCATCCACCCCTCCATTTGATTCACCTGCCTCCACTCTCTTGCCCTCTTTCAGCTGGTTGGCAACATGTTTAGGCAGCATGGCATAGAGTAGATTTTCTGTCTTCTGTCTTTCTTCCTCAAGGTGTTTTGAAAGATGATGCAGCTCTTCCTTTTTCCGTTCTAGCTGGTTGGAGAGCTCCATCTCCGCTAGACGCTGCTGGTTAAGCAGGATCAGATCACGTGTAGCGTCATGTGGAGCAATATCAGAGAGGTGCATGCAGTGCTCCTCCAGCTCCTGCAAGCTGCGAAGTAAGGGCGAAGCGAGGTACAGCATGCAACGCAACAGAGGCATCCATATCATTTGTCCTGGGAGAAGGAATTAAGAAAAATGTTAGGAAAGAGGTATAGAGGCAAATGCATTAAGGGATGCAGAGAATGTTAAATATGTTAAATACACCACATTTTAGTGTGATTAAGTTACTAAACCACAGTCATTAGAGAGGTTAATTTCATATTCCCTAAAGGTACAAAAGGGTGTGAGGTGGACATAAGGAGATGAAAAAGGGGAATATCTGAATTAATGAATGCAGAAATTAATTCTAATAATTCTGATAATTCTATTAATTAACATTTTTCAAAGTTATATAAGCCTGGATAATAAATCTAAATATAAGATAAAATAATCAAGTACACAGATTTGGTCAAAAATACATCTATGCTATTATTATAAGTTTCGAATAGGAACTTTGACACTGCGTCATGGCGTTGACATTATGGGAATGGTTCTGTGTGAGCCGGTGTCTGAAGCTGGTGTCTGCATAGCATGTCACCGAGACTATATATAGATGCCTGAGAAACACGCCATCAGCTTCTTTGTCTTGAGGATGTCACCTCTCTTCCTTGAGGCGAGTTGGTCCACACCATACCATCATGTGCCAAAAGAGAAAAAGGGTCAGTGCTACCTGTTGGATTGTTCAATCCCAGCAGGCTGTTACAGGAAAGCGAACAGACCATCTCTTCCGGTTATCGAAAGGTTGATACCGCTTGTAGATAATTTGGCAGCGTGTTGACTTCTGCCGAATGTATCTCAATGGGTTCTTAAAAGAAAAGAGTTACAGGATCCAGTTTGCCTCACGTACACCTTTTACTGGTGTACAGCCCACAGTAGTACACTCAGATCAAACAGATATTATGTACTTGGAACTTCAGTCTCTCTTGGCCAAAGGGGCCATCGAACATCATGCCTCTTCCCGACAGAGAATCAGGATTTTACATTTGCTTATTCCTGGTTCCTAAGAAGAACGGGGGTTGCATCCCTTTCTAGATCTGAGTTGCTTGATCCCTACTCCGTGGACATACAGGTTCAAGATGTTAACGCTGAAACTTATCGTACACTCTCAGAAAAAAAAGGTACGAAAGCTGCCACTGGGGCTGTACCTTTTCAAAAGGTACACTTTTGTAACTAAAGGGTGCATATTGGTACCTTAATGGTACATATTAGTACCTAATTAACAAACACCATCGCACACCTGCAGGTGATAGGTGCGTAGAAAAAGAAGACCAAATAGGTAGGTCGACAAATCTGCAAATAAGGAACTCCCGCACACTATCAGTACTTGCAAGTAATATAAAATTGTTTTATTAGCAACGTTTCGGTCTCACGACCTTCATCAGGCTACCTATTAGTACCTAAAATGTACATATTTGTACCTAAAAGGGTTCACAGTACCCTTTTTTTTTCCTATTGAAAAGGTACACTGCCCCAGGGACAGCTTTCGTACCTTTTTTTCTGAGAGTAATTCTAACCAAGGATTGGTTTGTGATGATAGATTTGAAGGACGCACACTTCCACATTGAGATATTGCCAGAACACAGGAAGTTTCTCAGGTTTCTCCGGTTTGCCTTTCCTCTGATAGCTCTGCTTCCGGGAGTTCTAGCAAGGGTTCATTTTTGGATGAAGGGACTGTGCAGGGGTCAATATATCACCACCAATAGGTGATCTGGAAACTTTGGGTCTGGTCCCTAAAGATTACCAGCTCTTAGATTCTAGTCTTTCAGTTGAGATTGTTGAGACAATTTTAAGTTCTAGAGCTCCCTCCATGAGGAAGCTGTATGCAATGAAGTGGAAGCTCTCGACTATTTATAAACCTATTGATGGAGTTTCTATTGGGAGACATCCCCTAGTCTCCTGCTTTTTGCGCAGTGCCAGTCGGCTGAAGCCTATCTGCAGGCCGCAAGTCCCTTCCTGGGATCTTTCAGTAGTCTTTGAAAGGTTTATCAGGGCTGGTTTCTGGTTTCTCCCTAGTTTTTTCTCCTTTCAGTCATCTGATTGGGTTTGGGTTCCTTGCCATTGCCTCTTCTGGCTTGCTTGGTTGAGAACACTTAATATTTAACAATATTATCGATCTGACTGTACTGACGCTGCTGTATGAGAACTGACCTGAGCTGGATGATGACATAATTTTTTTGCAGGACTGCTTCGTAGATGAAATGAATACAACGGAACTGAATAAAGGTGACTTGACTTTACTTGCATTCATTTGAGCCCCTACAGTCAGCCTCAAAAGGGACTGACTTTTAAAGTGTCTCTTTTGTTAACACTGACTACTCAAAAGAGTAGGAGATTTTCAGGCACTGTCAGTAGCCTCCTCTTGTTTAGACTTTTCCCCTTGACTAGTCTATTACACCCATAGGCCGGATTATGCCCCAAAGGTGCCTTCTGCAACTGGCCAAGGGCCTCATGAGTCACTGGAGCAAGAAAGATTGCATTTTTTATGTCCAATCCGGGCCCTTAGGATGAACTTCTACCACTTAGGCCAGTGGCGTGAATCCACCCAACTCTTGGTCTGCTTTGGTGGGCGCAGTAAGGAGGCTGCATCCAGGACCCTCACTATCAGCACTGGTGCTCCTGAGGGTTGCATCCTCTCCCTGCTGCTCTTTTCCCTGTACACAAATGACTGCACCTCCAAAGACCCATCTGTCAAGCTCCTGAAATTTGCAGATGACACAACAGTCATCGGCCTCATCCAAAACGATGACGAGTCTGCTTATAGACTGGAGGTTGAACATCTGGCTGTCTGGTGCAGTCATAACAACCTCGAGCTGAACACGCTCAAAACAGTGGAGATGATAGTGGACTTCAGGATAAATCCCCCTGAACTCCCCCAACTCACCATCATGAACAGCACTGTGGGAGCAATGGAGTCATTCAGGTTATTGGGCACCACCATCTCTCAGGACCCGAAGTGGGACACTCACATGCAGAGGTTGTACTTCCTTCACCAGCTGCGGAAGTTCAACCTGCAGGAGCTGCTGAAACAGTTTTTAATCGAGTCTGTCCTGTGCTCATCAATAACTGTCTGGTTTGGTTCAGCTACCAAATCAGGCATCAGGAGACGCTGAGAAGCTTATTGGTTCCCCCCTGCCGGCCCTCCAAAATCTTTACACCTGCAAAGTGGGAAAAAGAGCTAAGAAAATCACTTTGGACCCCACACACCCAGCCCAGTCTCTCTTTGAACTATTGCCCTCTGGCCGGCGCTACAGAGCACCGAGCATCAGAACAGCAGGCACAAGAACAGTTACTTTCACACAGGCTACATTCAGCCTGAACAATTAAAACTCTCATAACTGTACATGGTCTACCATACCTGTACATTTGTACATAACATCTGTAAATTATATCATAAACTGTTCACTTGTAAATAACATATCTGTACATTCATTAATATATATATATATATATTTTCTTTTTTCTTTCCTTTTCTTTCTACTGCTGTATATCGCATTATTTAAATTTGTGTTTCTTATATTATTGTTATATTTAATTTCTACTGTGTAATTCCTATGTATGTCTGCAAGTCAAGTCAAGTCACCTTTATCAAAGCAGCTTCACAGTGATAACATGAAAATAATACGACAAAGTTTGTTTCTAGAAGAAAATTGTGTCATCGTCCACCTTAAGTAAGGCAGATCAATAACATTGTTGAATATTAAATGTCCCCAACTAAGCAAGCCAAAAGCCAAGGCAACAGTGGCAAGGAACCAAAACTCCATCAGGTGACAGAATGAAGAAAAAACCCAGGCTCAGTCGGGGGCCAGTTCTCCTCTGGCCAACAAGCGAACAGTGTATGATTGTAATCCAGGCAGCATTACATGTCAGAAGTCAGATTGGATTAGAACATTCAAAATATGAATCCAGTTCCATCTGGTTGGAAGTCGGAGTCATCATTCCGGTATGGAGACGAGTTTGTTGAGGATCAGTGCTGATGGCTGTCGTGTCGATGAGGCCTTCACAGGGCTGATGAGGCTGGCACTTCAGGGATGTGTCATGGATGGGTCCAGGTGCAGGTCCACCATCTGATCTGGATACGGCCGGGATCCGGCTGACTTCAGTAAACAGGGAAGGGACTGGTTGACACTAGGGACTGGTTGACACTGGTTGATAGTCTGCACTATCATGTATGTCTGCATCATGTCTGTACTTTCTTCTGCACTGAAAGCTCCTGTCACCAAAACAAATTCATTGTGTGTGTAAACATACTTGGCAAATAACGCTCATTCTGATTCTGATTTCCCCTTGGTTTGTCGATGTTGGTATTGTTGTTCCCATATCGTCAACTCCATTAAGCAGATTCAAAGTTCCTATTCGAAAGGGAACATCTCAGGTTACATAAGTAACCCGGTTCCCTAAGGGGGACAAGATGCTGCGTCGCGTTGCCAGACCTTGGGGCATGCCTGAAAGTGCCTTCCTTCAGACAATAGAATCTGATGGAGTGTTTCTCAGGCACCTATTTGCCAACGCCATGATGCAGTATCTCGTTCCCTCTCAGGGAACCGGTTGGGTTACATAGGTAACCTGACACTTTCTTAACTCTGTTCCTGGAGCTCCCCTAGCAGTGCACATTTAGTATGTCTCCTTAATTAAACACACTTGATTCAGGACATTATTGGTAGAGACTCCAAGACCTGAAATGGGTGTGTCAGACAAAGGAGACATTCATGGATGTCTTCGGGAACAGGTAAGAAAACCACCGACAAAGAGACACATAGTGTTCCCCATACCACTTTCATTTCAATTAATATACATACAGTTCATATTACAGATATGTATAAAAAATAGAATTAGAATTTTTGACAGAACAGCAGAAACAATCAGGAATAAATGGCTGAGAATTCTCACCTCTCAGTTCTAGCATGGGTCTCTCTTTCCAAGCCATAGGCATTATTTCTCTTTTTGCCCGCAAAATAAAATGGCTATTAATGAACTTGCGGATGCTGCAGATGTTGAAAGTCACCTTTGGATTCTGGATGGTGAAATATTGATCCAGCTGGCCACACCTGGTCTGTAACTCTGGCACAATTCTCTGAATAGTCACCCCTGCCTGTCTAACCTGTAGCTGAATGGATGCATTGAGTAGAAGAAAAGATCAATGACTTAATTTAAAAAATATTAGGCATTAAGCAATGCAGAAAAATGTTAATCAGAATGCTTTTAAAACTATTGCTCTCTCAGTCACTTTATCAACACATCTGTAACAACATGGCAACTTTCCACATTTAAGAAGGCTCAAAGAAATACAGCCCACAGCAGTCAAAAATTACTGACCAATCTCTTTCCTTTCACTGTCTAAAGCCCTTTAAAGAGTTCTATCTTTGCCACTGCTTTCTGTATGTTTCTAAAACTCTGCTGCAGACAAGAGTGAACTCCCAATCATCTGTCCTCATTCCACTGGACAGGTCTGCTACCTACTATCCACCTGATGTTTAAATGTTGGATAAGTACAAAATTAATATAGAAATTCGTGCACATACAAATTCACATGCATATAGTATATTAGGATAAAACCTAACTTCTGTAAAATATCTGCACACCGGAACACTTTTTTCCATGGCATTTCCCAGTGAAGATTGCTTAGCTCAAGATAAATCTGCTTTTAATTCTGGTCAACATTCTGAAATAACATTCTGAGATTATTTTCAATTTCATGCAAATAATGACCAACAATGTGCACTTGACTCTGACTAAGAAGATGACAGCCAATGACAGAGCTTGTACAACCACTGCCTCGTGCAGGTGAGCTGTTGCTGTCATGTGCAGTATTCATTGCACAAAATTGGCATCTTATATTTTTCCACATCTTATATTATGTCACTGTTACATGCTGGTGGAAGTTGTGATGCATCCGGTGACATATCCAGTTGTGAGTGGCACTGAATGTTGTGACACATGCCACTTAGCTGCTGGATTTCTGTGGCATGTTCAGTTGTGCATGGCCTTTGTATCCTTATATCGGCTTTACAGTAGTGTTGACATTTAACAGATTATTTTATAAATATTAGTGTGATTTTACTATAGGATATTTGCTCATCACTCAACAAATGCTTACGATGGGTAAAAACTAAAACACAACCATAAACAAACTTCCTATAATAATAGTAATATACTGTATATATAAATGGTTTCCCACTACTTTTCTGCATTTTATTTCTGCTCTAGCTTGTGTACTAATCTGATACACATTCTTTATTTGTAAATTGCTTCAGATAAACTTGTCTATTAAATAAATAAATGTAAATGCACAACCATCACTTACTTCTTCATCAAACACAATGTGGAAAGGGAAGGCATTGCAAAATGTCTTCAGATCAATGCAGAGATTATCTGGATACACAGGCTCAAATCCCCTTAAAGTTTTATCTGATGTGGAAAAAAAAATCTAATTAATACAATCACCCATAAACACAAAGTTTACTCTACAATTAATCTCAGGAAAACATGGTAATTTGTTTAGAAAAATAGTAATATAAGAATGTTGCTGATTACAAATCTTTACCATCATTTTGTGATTGACTAAAATTGAGGCTCAGCTAAGAGGTGTACATAACTGTAGGATTAAAATAATAATTGTCAATTTTGTTGCATCTCATATACATCATGGTCTTCCTAGAACAAATAATTTTATTCTATCTTTACCCTTCTCTGGATGTATCAAGCTTCTGACTGTGCCCCAGTGGTTTTTCTGCACAGGATTTTCAGACTTCTTCAGGAGGGACCTTTTAGAAAAGTCCTAGAAAGAAAACGTCTCGGTTACGGATGTAACCCTCGTTCCCTGAGTAGGGAACGGAAATGTTAGAAGCCTCTCATTTAAAGAAATAAAACGAGCCAATGGCAAGGAAATGCCATGGGTCTGTGGAATTTGCATGGCGTAACTCCGCCCCACCGCGTGGGTATAAAAGGAAGGACGCCGCAATATGCAGATATGTTTCTTTTGCTGAGGAGCCAAGACTGAACTCGGCTGTTCCAGCGGTACAGCGGAAGTGGCAGAGAGACATAACGTCTCCATTCCCTACTCAGGGAACGAGGGTTACATCGGTAACCGAGACGTTCCCTTTCGTTGTCACTTCGAGTTACATCGAATGACGACGAAATGGGGTTCCCAGTCCAATCACGCCAACTCGGCTGTCTTCCAGTGCCCTGTGCAAGTCTGAGCTCCCTGTCGTGAGACTAGCACGGACGAAGGACTCCGACTTAACACAGGAATACCAAGGTACACTGGGAAGCATATCTCAGAGGAAATATGCAATCAGTGCCTGCCCGAAGGGGGGGGGGGGGGGGACTTACAGAACACACATATGACCCGGAGGGGGGGATGCATACGGAGAGCACTGGGGTGTCCAGCCCGCAGGGTGGAATATTTCAACCCCAGGGGTGGCAGAGTGGCTTGCCAAGGCAAAGACACATGCTCAGAGAGGCTTACAGTGGAAATACACATGTGGGGGTCACCCAGAGGGGGAACCATGCACATGGCGGCACTTAGCCAATCGCGAAAGCTGCCGGAGGCATAACTCTGGCGTTGACGTCAACAGCGCTGGAGGAACTCAGGGCTTGTGAGGCTCACCTGAGGAGAATATCGCACGTATCCAGTCCATGGAGTGGAATGGCGAGCAAGCAAAGACACCTGAGCGGGTCCTAGTACCGGCTGGTTGAAGCGAGTACACGGGAGGACACTGGCTCCACTCGGAGATTGTCTTTGGAATCTGGCGAATGTGTTGGGTGTCGCCCAGCCTGCAGCTCTGCAGATGTCTGTTAGCGAGGCGCCATGCGCTAGAGCCCAAGAGGAAGCCACACTCCGGGTGGAGTGGGCTTTCGCACCAAGGGGGCACGGTCGACCTTGCTGCTGGCATGCCAAGCAATGGCGTCCACTATCCAGTGAGACAGCCTCTGCCTGAAGAGAGCCTTTCCCTTCAGCTTCCCACCATAACAGACAAAGAGCTGGTTTGAGGTCCTGAAACACTGCGTTCTCTCTACATAAGCACGGAGGGCGCGTACTGGACAGAGCAGTGCCAAGGCTGGGTCTGCCTCCTCCAGGGGCAACGCTTTCAGGTTCACCACCTGATCTCAAAAAGGAGTGGTGGGAACCTTGGGCACATATCCAGGCATATCTCAGGATCACGTGAGAATAGGCCGGCCCGAATTCCAGGCACGCTTGGTCAATGGAAAATGCATGCAGGTCCCCTACCCTCTTAATGGAGGCCAATGCAACCAGGAGCGCTATCTTAACTGACAGGAACTTAAGCTCCACTGATTGCAGAGGCTCAAGGGAGCACTCTGCAGGGCAGTTAGAACCACTGAGAGGTCCCAAGAGGGAACGAGAGGAGGCGAGGACGATTCAGTCTCCTCGCTCCTCTCAGGAACCTGATGATCAGGTCGTGCCTTCCCACGGACTTACCCTCAACTGCGTCGTGATGTGCGGCGATAGCGGCAAGATAGACTTTCAGAATGGAGGGAGACAGCCTTTGCTCCAACCCATCTTGCAGGAAGGAAAGCATGACACTTATCGGTGAGAAGAGCACCAGTTGATGAAGAGGTTCCACTCCAACGCGTAGGCATGTCACGTGGACGATGCTCTAGCGGAAGTGATGGTAGCCACCCCTGCTGGTGGTAGGGTACTCAAACCTGCCTAGTCCTGTCCAGGAGCCACACGTGGAGGTTCCAAAGATCGGGACGAGGGTGCCATAGGGTGCCCCGTTTCTGAGAAAGGGTCCTTCCTCAGAGGGATTGGCCAGGGAGGTGCTGTCGCGAGGAGTAAAAGTTCGGAGAACTAGGTCCGGCTGGGCCAATGAGGCGCAACCAATATGACCTGCTCCTCGTCCTCTCTGATCTTGCACAGGGTCTGTGCAAGAAGGCTCACTGGGGGAAACGCATACTTGCGGAGGCCCCGGTACTAGCTGTGCGGCAATGAGTCCGTGCCAAGCGTTCCCTCGGTCAGGGAGTAAAACAGGTCACAATGGGACGAGTCGTGGGAGGCAAACAGGTCTACCTGTGCGTCCCCAAACTGATCCCAAATCAGCTGAACCGACTCCAGGAAGTCACCATTCTCCAGGAAGAGGCTGAGACGTGAAGCTCGACGGCTGCACAATTCAGGGTTCCCGGAATATAATGGCTCGAAGCGACCTCAGATGCTTTTGACTCCAAAGAGGAGGTGGCGGGCGAGTTGCGACATACGGCGGGAGCGTAGACCACCTTGTGGGTAGATGTACGCCACTGTCGTAGTATTGTCTGATCGGACTAGTACGTGCTGGTTCTTGACCAACGCATGGAAGCGGTGCAGAGCGAGACGTACTGCCAGCAACTCGAGGCAATCAACATGTCCATTGCACATGGCACCCCAGCCCATGCAGAAGGCATCTGCTGAAACAACAACATGCCTGGAAACTCGCTCTAAGGGCACTCAGGCCCGTAGAAAGCAGAGGTTTGTCCAAGGGGTGAAGGTCTGACGGCAGGTCGGAGTTACTGGTACTCGTAGCATGCCTTGTTGCCATGCCCACCTCATGTATTTGGGTGAACTATCCCTTTAAGTCTGGTGATGAAAGTTAATATATGTGAAATAAAATGATATATTTAAATAAGTATTTTAAGTATTTTAAATACAAATTACAGTCTCTAAGTATTTAATTACAAATTACATTTCATTTATTTTTGTTAAGGAAATTACAAAATACTCAAAAGTAATTAAATACGTATTTCAAATACATGTAATTAAAATACTGCCCATCTCTGCTGGCGACAGAGGGGGACGAGAGTGGCGAGGCTCGTAAGCGGCGCGCACTGCCATCCGCGCCCTCTGGGGGAACCCACATCTGAGCTGCCCGTAACGGGAGTGTCGCATCGCCTGCCGTTCAGCAGGCTGCGGGACTGGTACAGGCAGGGGCGCCTTCCTGCGACCACCTCCACGGCGCGGTCCGGTACTGCTGGGGCAGGCGGACTAAGGCGTCTGAGCCGGCGGCTGGGTGGCAGCAGCTGACCGCAGGGTCAGAACATGTTTGGTAGCCTCAGTCTGCTTCTGGGCGGCCGAGAACTGTTGGGCAGAGTCCTTGACCGCACCGCCGAAGAGGCCAGTCTGGGATATGGGGGAGTTGAGGAAGTGGGTTCGCTCAGCCTCGCGCATATCAACCAGGTTAAGCCAGAGATGTCTGACCATGCATGTGGACATAACCTGACCCAGGGAGCGTGCGGTCACCTTTGTCGCTCGTAGAGCGAGGTCGGTGGTGGCAGGCTCTTGGATGAGCCCTGAATCAGCCCTACCCACGTGCATGTCATTGAGCACCCTGAAGGATGGCAATAACATGCAGTGAGGTGGCAGCCTGCCCCCCAGCTCAATAGGTCTTTGCCACTGGAGTAGACAAACAACCTACAGGCATTGGTGGGGTGCTTAGGGTCGCCACGCCAGGTGGAGGCGCTGTGGGGACACAGATATGTTGCCACAGAACACTCCTCGGGGGGAACCCCAGTGTACCCTTGGCCGAGGCCTCTGCGAGGGCAGAGAAGCCGGAAGAGGCAGCTGAGCAGTCGCGAAAAGTCAAAGGAGACTCCCACGATCTCATGGCCTTTTCATGCACGTCCGGGTAGAAAGGATTTGGGTTCGCCTCCCCAAAAACCAATCATCAGCCTTAAGTGCTCGGGACATGGCGGATGGTTCCACACAAGCCCGATACTCGCGGCGGCCCGGGAAAGCATAGCTGTCAACTCTGGATCAGACTCGTTATGCTAGCACACCCGAGGATGGCAGCACAGACGAGCCCTCATCTCCAGAGGACGATATACATGATTTCCTCTGACGCGGCTCTGGTCAGCAAACTCACTTCGGAACTGCACGGGTTGCTGTGTGCAAGACGGGGTGTGGACCGAGAATGTTTAGTCGGTTTAGTTCCAGACCTGCCGACCTACCAGAGTCTTGACTGTTACATTGCGATGGTCATGTTCCCGCTGGGAGAACGTGACGCATCCACGAACGCTGTCTGAACGTGATCGAAGCCCAAACACGTGAAAACAGCGCTCGTGCCCATCAGCTAAATCTATCAGAATACCGCACTCAGAAATACACGGGCAGAATGTCTTTAAAAAGATGTGCCGCGTGCACGCTCTTTTTGTGAGAGAAAAGCTCGCAGCAGTGCTGAAGCGCCCAGGGAGAAACACACACGCTGTTCAGTTCAGCAGGCAGAAATGTGAAACTCGCCAGAACTCGCCATCACACCAACACCGACTGGAAGCTGCTCGTCTAGAAGATTCTCGAAGATAATCAGAGAATAGGCTGCAGGAGTGAAGAGAACTTCTTGGCTCCGAAGCGAAAACATATCTGCATATTGCGGTGTCCTTCCTTTTATACCCACGCGGTGGGGCGGAGTTACGCCATACAAATTCTGCAGACCCATGGCATTTCCTTGCCATTGGCTCGTTTTATTTCTTTCGAAGACGAGAGGCTTCTAAGCAAACCCCATTTCATCGTCATTCGACGTAACTCGAAGTGACAACGAAAGGGAACAGTGAAGGTGTGTTTTACTGTATATGCCCTAATCCTCAATAGTATACATAATGTTGTATATAACTGTGAAATAATACAATTATTATTAATATATGTTACAACATATATCTAGAACACCAAAAATAAATTGTGTAGAGTTGGTGAGAAAGCATTTTCAGTGCATACTTTGTCTAAGAACACTGGTGTGATGAGGAAAACAATATGCTCCTTTTTTCCCATCCTCTCAACTTCCTCTATCTGGTTCACTATTTCCATCTTTATTGTGCTGTTGAAGAAGTCTTTGGCCACAGCTCCAATGATACCTACAACATCAGAATGACCAGTCAACCAGAAGATTTCATTACTTCCTGAAGCACATACGTATAGATAGATAGATAGATAGATAGATAGATAGATAGATAGATAGATAGATAGATAGATAGATAGATAGATAGATAGATAGATAGATAGATAGTTTACCAGGGACAATATGACAAAGACCTCGTCGGTCTGAGTAGTAGTGTAACAGCAAGGTGCCGTCATTGTTTTTTTCTACACGGAATGATGGTGCGTTCATTTCCTAAAATAAAATAAAGACAACACAAATTTGCTATAGATATTTTGCTTAGATGCATATGAAAGCCATATGTTTTTGTAGTTCTTATCACAAGAATAAATATTTATAAATGATTCTGAATGCATGAATGAATAAATCACTAACTCAGAAAAAGTAATATTGAGTGAGAATGAAAGGTCCTATTTTGGCACATCAAAAGTGGGCTATTAATTCTAGATTAACAAATAAATTATGAAACAGTGTCTTTGATCGAAATTCTCCTCAAGATGTTTATGAGAATAATAATGTCCTGCTCACTTTACCTTGTAGGAAAGAGAGAGATAGCTGTGCAGTGAATCCAGATTCTCCATAAACTCAAAGAGATTTCCTCCAAGGGTGCGCAACATATGATCATATCCAGACCTTTTGCAGAACTCAAAGAAGTATTCTCCAAACTGCGTCAGCAACACACTTTGTTCAATGTCTTTGGATAAACAAAGAAAGTGTACATTAACTTTGATTTAGGTGATAAAGAACAAGCACGCTGTTTCTAATAAATACAGCTGGGTGCTCTGAAACTCAAACACAGTTTTAAGAAAGCGCTTCACCAAGCATCTTGCAGGCCTCTGTCACTAACTGCATGGTGATGTCATCTGTGTACACTTCATAAGTCATAAAGGTGTCTTGGACCCTTGCCCCATCCCTGCAAAAATGCAATCAAAACCAGTATTTTTCTGTGTAAAATCAAGTAATTTATAGGAGTGTTATGGATGCTCACCTTAGTTTGTCCCATGTCTCTTCTCCAAATCTGTCAATCACTAGAGACTTCAAACATGTGTTGATGAATCCATACTGGACATGAGAGTTAGACACACAGCCATTTGACATGTTTTGTAGAGACAATACGGAAGATTAAATTCACATTGCAAGAATGAATGTTTGTAATAAGTTGTCACAATGTCACATGCCTGTCCTGTCTCGTGTCGCACATGTGGTGTTTTGTGTTCCTGTCTCTGTCTCGATCCTACCTTCCTTGTTATCTCATTATTGGTTTTATTTGCCCCACCTCACCTGTTGATCCCTCATTACCTGCCTGATTTGTCCCTTTTATAAGTTCCTTGGTGTTTGCAGTCTTTGTCGGATTGTTGTCTTGTATACGTCTCCTGTTTTCCCGTGACCCTCTGGTATGCTTGTTTTTGAAGTTTTTGTTTTATATTATGTTTTTCCCCCTTGTGGGTTCTTGTTTTACTTTGTTTCTTTTATTAAATAAATCACTATTCTTTTGCAATTGAGTCCTCACCTAGTTTTCTTTAGTTGTCACGTAACATACAAGGGCTATATATCAGTTATTAAAAGGTTTTACGTCAATATTATTCATAATTCATCCTCCAAAACTAATCAGGCAAGGGTAAACTATGAAGGTAGACTCAGGCTGGGGCAAGTATTTTATCTTTATATGCAGTTAGGTAGGTGCATAAGTTCGCTTACCCATGGCAGAATCTGCTAAATGTTTATAATTTTAAAAATAATATGGATCATATAAAAGAGCATTTTGCTTTATTTAGTTCTGCCCTGTTTAAGCTATTTCACATTACAGATACTTACTGCTCCACATTACAAAATAACAACTTTATTTACAAATGATCATGTTCAAAGTATAGATCCCAGCTATGCTTTTATTATAGTATGTAGCTTTGTCAATGATCAGTGACAGTTTATATGTGTTGTAAGTCCCTGTTTCGTCCTGAGTGAAACTGCCCACCATTTAAAGAAAAATCCCAACTTTTCCAGCATTTTGAGCTCTTCTCGATAATAGCCATATGACCTTGAGAGCATGCATTTAACATTTATCTAAAATGGATGTAAACTTTTGTAGACGGCACCCTAAAAAAGGGGTTTTCCTTCATATTTTGAATTACGATTTATATTGTGTTATTGTTTTAGGGTTAAAGGAAATGTCCGTAAACTTAACAGAAAATGTCCTGGCAGACAATTACCAGTTTCTGTTTTTCTACAGATTTGTATTTTACAGGGAGGATGATCGGTGTATATTGTTATTATTTTATATATATTTATTACATATAGCCATACATTTTTTTATGCAGTAATTCTGAAGGGAAATTAAACAATTAGATATCATATCTCTTATATTTGTATAAATTCTGCAAGAGATTTATAAACTGAGGTATTTATGCACTCAACTGCATACACACATCAATAAAAATGCAATAAAGCAAAATGCTGCAAGTAAAATAAAATTGCAATATCCTTACCATTTCTCTATCAGGTTGTTTTCCTTGGGCAGATGAAAGCTTACAGTTGAATTACTCAGTTTCTTTTATATTCCATGGATCAAACATCCACCTCCATCATGATTCATGATTAAACAATTAATACCAGGCTACAGTTCAATCCAGGAATAAACGAGAATTCCAACAAATACAGTTTTTCTTCATCAACTATTTACAAAATTATTTATCAGGAGTCCCAAACATGCACGATCCGAAATGTCCGCAGCAGGAGATACAGCACGAGCCCACATGACAACATGAATGAGAACGCATGACCCTAATGAGAGATGGAAGACCCTCTGATGTCTTGCCAGTGGCGCCTCCAGGAAAGGTGGGTGGCCAGAGGGGGACAGTAAAGACCTAGGGTGGCACGCTAAAGCCTACACTGGAAGAAAATCTTACCTTCATTTGTAATTTCAAGATCTATTCCTACTTTATCTAACCCACAAAAACTACTTCTTCTTTATCTAAACCACAAAATTAAATGAATTTATTGGGTCTAATTTGTCAAGTTGATATGCAGATTAATTTAAATGTTTTACTTGCATGAAACCTGTTAGTTTAGATGTTCTTACATAAAGCACACATATTCACTGTTTCTTGCGATTGTAATTCCTGTGTAAATATATTTATACTATTGCATCGGAGGAAAAATTCAGGATCCACTCTGCCAAAAACCAAAACCTAAAAGGACATTAACGTTTATTTAATAATGAATTAATCAAATGTATTTAATAATCAACACTCAAATAATACACAGTTGTACAAACATTTAAATTACACATAGGGCAGTTTTTATATCAACTTTTTAGTTATAGAATTATAATAATAATAATAATTCATTACATTTTTATATAGCGCTTTTCTCGGCACTCAAAGCGCTTTACATAGAAGGGGGATCTCCTCAACCACCACCAATGTGCAGCATCCACCTGGATGATGCGATGGCAGCCATATTGCGCCAGAACGCCCACCACACACCAGCTTACTGGTGGAGAGGTGACATAGTGATGAAGCCAATTGGTATATATATATATATATGGGGATGATTAGGAGGCCATGATGGACAGAGGCCACTGGGAAAATTTGGCCAGTATGGGGTTACACCCCTACTCTTTCGAAACACATCCTGTGATTTTTTGTGACCACAGAGAGTCAGGACCTCGGTTTAACGTCTCAACTGAAGGACGGTGCTCTTTGACAGTATAGTGTCCCCATCACTATACTGGGGCGTTAGGACCCACACAGACCACAGGGTGAGCACCCCCTACTGGCCTCACTAACACCTCTTCCAGCAGCAACCTGGTTTTCTCAGGAGGTCTCCCATCCAGGTACTAACCAGGCTCAGCCCTGCTTAGCTTCAGTGGGCAACCAGTCTTGGACTGCAGGGTGATATGGCTATGCTTCTAATCCAATTTGTTGGTGAAATATAACCACTTAAAAAAAACGGCAGTAATAGCCTAACTTGTTCCCATGACAGATTTACTTAAACTTAACCTATAATGAAGAAAACATTATGTCAATTACTTATAGAAATACAGGCTGATGGTCGACCTGCTTTTTCTGCATTTCAAACACTGATTGAGCAATTACATCAGATGATTCATTTCAGTAATTTGTGCTGTATCTTTTAACATACCATCTAATGTTTATTCATGTTTATTTCTTGCTATAACTTAAGAAAAAGATATGATATAGGTTCACGTGCTGCTTGAATTAAGCGACAAAAACATTTATTGTTTTAACTTCATGATACTGAGACATTGTTTCATATTAAAAGAAAAAGAAATCGCAATGTTTATTGTGGTTGTTGGCTCGTTAGGAGTATTTACGCACAAGCCAATTAGTCTAGATGGAAATAAGGGTCCACGCGCACCGCAACCCCCGGCTTTCTTTATTCTTATACAAAGCGATCTCTTCATTCCTCTCCATCGACTCCAGCGATCTCTCCATTCCTCTCCATCGACTCCAGCGATCTCTCCATCGACTCCAGCGATCTCTCCATTCCTCTCCATCGACTCCAGCGATCTCTCCATTCCTCTCCATCGACTCCAGCGATCTCTCCATTCCTCTCCACCAGCTCCAGCGATCTCACCATTCCTCTCCATCGACTCCAGCGATCTCTCCATTCCTCTCCACCAGCTCCAGCGATCTCTCCATTCCTCTCCATCGACTCCAGCGATCTCTCCATTCCTCTCCACCAGCTCCAGCGATCTCTCCAATCCTCTCCATCGACTCCAGCGATCTCTCCATTCCTCTCCATCGACTCCAGCGATCTCTCCATTCCTCTCCACCAGATCCAGCGATCTCTCCATTCCTCTCCATCGACTCCAGCGATCTCTCTATTCCTCTCCACCAGATCCAGCGATCTCTCCATTCTTCTCCATCGACTCCAGCGATCTCTCCATTCCTCTCCACCAGCTCCAGCGATCTCTCCATTCCTCTCCATCGATTCCAGCGATCTCTCCATTCCTCTCCATCGACTCCAGCGATCTCTCCATTCCTCTCCATCGACTCCAGCGATCTCTCCATTCCTCTCCACCAGCTCCAGCGATCTCTCCAATCCTCTCCATCGACTGCAGCGATCTCTCTATTCCTCTCCACCAGATCCAGCGATCTCTCCATTCTTCTCCATCGACTCCAGCGATCTCTCCATTCCTCTCCACCAGCTCCAGCGATCTCTCCATTCCTCTCCATCGATTCCAGCGATCTCTCCATTCCTCTCCATCGACTCCAGCGATCTCTCCATTCCTCTCCATCGACTCCAGCGATCTCTCCATTCCTCTCCACCAGCTCCAGCGATCTCTCCAATCCTCTCCATCGACTCCAGCGATCTCTCCATTCCTCTCCATCGACTCCAGCGATCTCTCCATTCCTCTCCATCGACTCCAGCGATCTCTCCATTCCTCTCCATCGACTCCAGCGATCTCTCCATTCCTCTCCATCGATTCCAGCGATCTCTCCATTCCTCTCCATCGACTCCAGCGATCTCTCCATTCCTCTCCATCGACTCCAGCGATCTCTCCATTCCTCTCCACCAGCTCCAGCGATCTCTCCATTCCTCTCCATCGACTCCAGCGATCTCTCCATTCCTCTCCATCGACTCCAGCGATCTCTCTATTCCTCTCCACCAGATCCAGCGATCTCTCAATTCCTCTCCATCGACTCCAGCGATCTCTCCATTCCTCTCCATCGATTCCAGCGATCTCTCCATTCCTCTCCACCAGCTCCAGCGATCTCTCCAATCCTTTCCATCGACTCCAGCGATCTCTCTATTCCTCTCCACCAGATCCAGCGATCTCTCCATTCCTCTCCATCGACTCCAGCGATCTCTCCATTCCTCTCCATCGACTCCAGCGATCTCTCCATTCCTCTCCATCGACTCCAGCGATCTCTCCATTCCTCTCCATCGACTCCAGCGATCTCTCCATTCCTCTCCATCGACTCCAGCGATCTCTCCATTCCTCTCCACCAGCTCCAGCGATCTCTCCATTCCTCTCCATCGACTCCAGCGATCTCTCCATTTCTCTCCACCAGCTCCAGCGATCTCTCCATTCCTCTCCATCGACTCCAGCGATCTCTCCATTCCTCTCCATCGACTCCAGCGATCTCTCCATTCCTCTCCA